TCTCGCAACTGATCCTGTACCGCACTGCAGTCGCCACCACGGCGGGCATCGCCCCAGGTGACCACAGATCCATCACCCAGGATTGCAGCAAAGGAAACAAGAGAGGCTTGGATCTGCTGCACATCTCGCAGCTGATCCTGGACCGCACTGCTGTCGCCACCATGGTCGGCACTGCCCCAGGTGACCACAGATCCATCACCCAGGATTGCACTAAATGCACCACCAGAAGCTTGGATGTGTTGCGCATCTCGCAGCTGATCCTGGACCGCACTGCTGTTGCCACCATGGTCGGCACTGCCCCAGGCGACCACAGATCCATCGCCCAAGATTGCAGCAAATGCACATCTAGAAGTTTGGATCTGCTGCACATTCTTCAGCTGCTCCTGTACGGCACTGCTGTGGCCACCGTAGTCGGGGTCACCCCAGGTGACCACGGATCCATCACCCAAGATTGCAGCAAATGCACCATCAGAAGCTTGGATCTGCTGCACATTCTTCAGCTGCTCCTGTACGGCACTGCTGTCGCCACCATGGTCGGCACTGCCCCAGGTGACCACAGATCTATCACCCAGGAGCGCGGCAAACGCAGAGAACCGACTGCCTCGCCGGGTGGCGTTAAGCTGGACTTGGCTCACGTGTAGGGTGAGCACATCTCCACTTATCAGCTTCGCTTCTGTGATCGTTTTTGCTCCATCAAGGATCTCTCCAGAAGAAGTCAGCAGCCTCCCTCTACCCGTGACGAGAGCACTCTGGGCGCGACACTTCAATGACTCAACAGATGCATCTGCCTCCACTTCCAAAGAGGCACTCTTGCCACCCAGCAGATGCACATGCAGAGAAATCGACATGATCCTTCCTAGGGTGGCCGCTGCACGCAAAAACTAAGACTTCAGCTCGCTGGATCAAGCTGTTGTAACCCTCAGTTTATACTTGCAAACCTTGTGAATGTGCAGCCATATCTAGTGTCATGTATAGTAATAGATATATATATATATATATATATACATATACGTATACATATACATATACTAAAACATGAAAATATATACATATGCAACCACATATGTATATATGTATATGTATACATATATTGCGATATGTACATAGATATATATACACACATGCATACATGCATGCATGCATACATACATTACTTCTTCCACCGCATACATACACACATACATACATACATACATACATACATACATACATACATACATACACACATACACAATCCGAAACCCTGGGTACTAGCACTCAGCCAACTTTTTTCCATGCAGGGTTTGCGCCCAGGGGTTTATGGGTTTGGGGTTTAGGGCTTACGTTTGAGGCTTTGGGGTTTAGCGCAAGCAGCATCCTTTTGTACCTAGTAGTAGCCTCGCCAGAAGCCAGAATACCAACTGTGTTGATGGTAGCTTTATGTACGTGATGGTAGGTGTAGGGTCTACTGCCTGACTTCGGGGACCCACTGCTGGTGTCCCCAAACGTCCTTGACTGCAGTTGGTTCAAGGAAGCTTCAACTGCTGGGTTTTACGGGGAAGAGGGCTTTTGTGGTTGAGGATTATGGGCTGAAGAGCTTTAGTGGTTTGGGCTTTGGGGTTTGGGGCTTCTGGGCTGCAGGGTTAGTTTGGGGCTGGCGAATTGGACCTCAGGCATCTGGGTTTTCCAGTGCAGGACATGGATCGCTCCCGCAGCCGAGGGTTTAGGATTTAGGGGGAGGGGGGGGAGAGAGATCGAAACGAGGGCAGCCTCAGCACCGCACTCTTCACTACAAACACCAGACGGAGCCAGTGGTAATCTGTTACTGTCAATACTATCGAGTGCCTCACGTGAACCAAGAACCACGGTGGTTTAGGCGGCATAGAAGCCATTGGAGGAGAAGGTCTAGGGCTTTAGGTCTAGGGTTCAGGGTTTGGGATTTGAGTTTAGGGTTTAGGGTTGAGGGTTGAGGGTTTAGGGTTTAGGGTTTAGGGCTTATAGGGTTTATAGGGTTTGTAGGGTTTAGGGAGGGTTGAATTCGTAAGCTTCAGGGCTGGGGTCTAGTTGGGGTCGAGGTTTCCAGCTTCTAAGAACTCCAACCACTACCTGTAGCCGGAGAGACCTACCTTGTTAGGGCTCCTTCTTATGGCTTCTACATATGTAGTTCCTTAAAAAGGTAGGGCTCTTCGGTGACAGGTAGCTCCCACGTTACCCTGCCTTCTACCCCTACTCTCCTAGCAGAGTGCTTGTGGTACTGGTACTTTATTCTTCTTCGATTGTTGAAAGGAGCTTCGACTCCTCAGTTTTTCGATACTCATGTGCAGGGAGGAGGCAGCCCTGAAATTTTGAGTACCTAAACCCTAAACCCCAAGCCCTAAACCCTAAACCCTCAACCTTAAGCCCTACCCTCCACCCACCCGCCCAAACCAAAACAAAACACTAAACCCTAAGCCCTAAACCCTAAACCCTAAACCCAATACAAAGGAAGAGCCGTCCTTCAGGTCCACGAAAGCCTCCATGGCGGCTCGACGGACCTTGAAGTCAGCGGCCTCCATCTCTCCTGGACATGATCGGATACTTAAGAACTAGAATAGGGTTTCGGAGTATACTATAAAGGGTTCCTTAAAGGGTTCTATAAGGGTTACTATAAGGGTGTAGGGTTTAGGGGCCTTAGAAATTAGAATAAGGTTTTGGGGTATATTATACTAGACTATACTTATTACTAGGAACCACCAAAATAGTATAGGTTTTTATTAAGGCCTCTATTGCCCTGCAACTCTTAATGATCAGGGTTTAGGGTTTCGGATTTAGGATTTAGCGTCTACACTTTTTAGTGTTTAAAGTTTAGGGTTATGGATTTAGGGTCTCGGGCTTCGGACTTCGCAGTGAGGATAAGCCCGATGCCCAACAAGGAGCCAAAACTGGGGTCAGAATGGGCCCTGCGAGCGACCAGACTCCGCAGCGCCCTATGCGAACGCACCTCTAACCTGCCCAAAAGCCCACAAGCCAGCCCACAAACTCGAAACAACCTAAACCCTAGACCCTAGACCCTAAAGCGTTAACCCCAAACCCTAAACCCTAAACCCTAAACCCTAACCCCTAAACCCTAAACCCTAAACCCTAACCCCTAAACCCTAAACCCTAAACTCTACGGAGCCTGAGGCTCCTGCCCGCTGCCATTCAGGCCGGGCAGAATCGGCGAACTCTGGCCCGATCCGGCCATGATACACTCTACAGAGCTTTAGGGTTTAGGGTTTGGGGTTTAGGGTTTAGGGTTTAGGGTTTGCTGCACCTGCTAAAATCTTAAGCCCTAAGCCCCACTAAAAGGTTCATGGGACTTAGTAAGTAGGGTTATAGTTAAGGTGACTATACTTATATATACTTATAACCCCAATTAAGGGACTTATAACCTTTCTTACTAAGTCCCATGATCCTCCAAGTAGACCCTAAACCCTAAACCCTCGACCCAAAACCCCTCAACCCCAAGCACTAAACTCTACAGGGCCCCTGCACCTGCCACCCTAAACCCTAAACCCTAAACCCTAAACCCTAAACCCTAAACCCTAAACCCTAAACCCTAAACCTAGACCAAAATCCTTATCCGGCCCAGGGTCTGGCGATGTGCTCAAGGAACTTCTTGGCCTCGGCTACGCAAAGCGGGGGGCTCTGTCCATCTTTTATGCGGGTGGATCTAGAAAGTAGGTCCCTTAAAGGGACCCTTAAAGGGATCCTTAAAGAGACCCTGAAGGAAGCCTGAAAAGATCCCTTGAAGGGATTCCTGTTACGGTCGCAGATTGGGGGTTCTACTTTCTAGATCCTCCCAGGGGTTTGGTCAGGACTCGGGTTTTTTCGGCGGTTTAGAAGGGCTTTACAGGGCTTTGTGTTATCGGGTTGCATACCGGTGTCTAGGGTTTTCTGAGGATTTTATGAAGGGGGGTTCCAAGGTTCCAATAGGTTTTCAGCATGGTCTTATAATTGACAAAAACGGTTTAGGGTTTGGGTTTAGAGGGCTGCATACTGTGGTTTGCATGCTTTCCGCCTTATTTAGCAGGGGCAAGTAAAACGAGGATCCTATTATTCAGGAGCTAACTCAAGGTCGCATCAAGGTCGCCAATTCTCAAACTTTCACGTCCCCCCCCCCCCCCCCCGCCATGTTCAGGAATTGAACCCGACTTGGATGGGTTTGGGGTTTGAGATTTGGAAATTCGGGCTTGGGTCTTAGAAGTGGTTTCTGGTTCCGAATCTGCTATGATGCACTAAGATAAGGTTGGCCTATGAAAAAATTAAACGCGGGCCCTCTTGACGTGGTTTTCTGTAAAGTTTAGGTGGTACTTACAGGATCATGGGACTTAGTAACTAGAATTTTAAATACACTAACTCTACTTATACATACTTCTAACCCGGTAGAGGCACGCATAACTTTACTTACTGTAAGTCCCATGATCCTCCAAGTAAGGTTTAGGTTGCACCTGCGCCTGAACCCTAATGTAAGGTTTAGGCTTCGACAGGGAGGCGCCTTGATAACGGACTTGTATTTCCCTTTTGGTAGGGTCCCCAACTCGATCGAACGTCTGTGAAACCATAAAGGAATAGGGTTTACGTCCTAGGGTTCAGGGGTTTGGGTTTAGGGTTTAAGGGGTTAGGGCTTATTTGGAGGTGAAGACACGATGCAAAAAGAGTAGGGGGTTAACTCATAAGAGCAAGGACCAGCACCGAAGCCATAATACCCCAAGGATCCTACCCTAAACCCTAAACCCTAAACCCTAAACCCTAAACCCTAAACCCTAAACCCTAAACCCTAAACCCTAAACCCTAAACCCTAAACCCTAAACCGAATCCGACAGCCCTACACGCCCTGAACCCTCAACCCTGACAGCCCCACACGCCGTAGAGTCCAATCGCTCCGACTGAGCGACCTGAACCCCCAGAACTGAAAACCCGAAGCCCTAAGCCCTGAATTCAGGCTTTAGGGCCACTTTAGGATTCAGGGTTTAGGGTATAGGCTTTAGGGTTTAGGGTTTAGGCTTTAGGGTTTAGGGTTCAGGGCTTCAGGCGCAAGCGAGAGACACTAAATTCAACCGTGTAAGTAAAGAAGTACTGCCGCAGGATTCTGCAACCCTCACGTTGACTCAGCAGGATCTTGCATATAAGCGAAAGGTGCCTGGTACGCAAAGGATCATGGGCCTTAGTGACTCGGGCCATATATCAGGAGGCTAACTATACTTATAAACACTTACAACCCCAATTAGGGTTCCCATAACTTGACTGACTAAGTCCCATGATCCTCCAAGTAGCTTCTTAAAGCGCCCCGATTCCCAAGAGCCCGATCTTGGCGCGCGGCGTTGGCGCCAGATCCCCCAAGGAGGTTCAGCACCTGTAGAACCGGGTACATAAAGTAGTTTATAGTATATGGCAGTAGATTATAGTACACTGTAGTCTTTTATTATTGCAAATTACAGCGTAGTAAAGTAGTAAAGCATATCATCGTATATTCTTATAGGCTTCGGATCCATAAAACCAGGTACTCAAGTTTTTTGAAATATTGGATTGTCCAAGCTACCATATATTACCGTTCTCTACCAGGTCCTATTTTCTGTACGGTCCATATAACACTTTATGGTAAGGCAGCTTCTACGGACCTTCATATCTGTTTGATAATCAATCATACTGACTTGTGTGTATTTTCGATCTGCATGTACAGCACTCGTGGTGTATCTGTGCCGCTTTACAAAGAAAATACTGCTCAGTCCTCGGGTGGTCTACTGTGCATAATTTTAACACATTTGCACAAGCACAAACAAACACATGCGGCATACTTGCAAGCAGCTGTTGTGCAGTCGCGCATATGCGCATACACATGTCTTCGGATAGTTGCAAACCAACCGAAGATTGTCCATGGCTGCAGGACTATCTTGCGAAGCACGATACGACTCCAGAACATGTCTGTGCTGGCCTGCTAGGGCGGTTTGATCTGTGCCAAGTTCTGGGTAGCCACAGCCACGCCGCTTCTGGCTATCTACAGTAGAGTTTTTGACCCAACGACATGGGAATGCACAGATCCCACACACCCGTATCAACAACAAGCCTACCCACTATGTTAGTGTATATCTCCTGCAACTCACCACCCCTCAAACACTCCCCTAGATAGGGCTAGGCCAATTTTGACCCTACTTGAGCACCCTTGTTAGAGTGCCCTGAGCCTCGAGGAGAAGCCGCATGCCTAGTCAGAAACCCTAAGCCCTGAACCCCTTCGCCCTGTACCCCGAAGCTCAGTACCCCTAAACCCTGATACCTTCAACTTGAACCTAAACCCTAAACCGTAAACTCTAAACCCCTGAACCCTAAACCCTAAACCCTAAACCCCTAAACCCTGAACCCTTCAACTTGAACCTCAACCCTAGACCGTAAACCTTAAACCCCTAAACCCTAAACCCTGAACCCTTCAACTTAAAACCCAGCAACCACCGGATCGTCTTACGTGGTCTTTGGGGCCTATACTAAACAGATCTGGGTTTTTGGGTTTAGGGTTTAGGGTTTAGGGTACTTGGTAAGTAGGGCTACAAGGAAGAGGAAGGTACTTGTGGTTACAACCACTGATAAACAAAACTAAGGCACGCGTCACCTTACTTACTAAACTGCCTGATCCTAAACCCCTGCTTTCAGAAACCTTATCAACCCTCATAACAACCTTTGCGAGCCCTGATCTATGCCCGCAGAAGACTTATAACCCTACCCGCAAAGTCCCTTTTTCAGGCGTCTCTTACAAATCAACCTTATACTATCCAGCCCTGTGAGGATCAAGCTTCCAAAATCTGAAATACCAGACCCCAGCTTCTCTCTCCTAAACCCTCAACCCTCCACCCCTAGACCTTCAACCCTAAACCCTCAACTCTCAAAAGCTACGAAATTCATTTGGGTTTAGGGTCTAGGGTCTAGGATTTAGGGTTGAGGGTTTAGGGTTTAGGGCATACTCCAACCCTCAAACTTAAACCTTTAACAATCAGCTCCCAAGCTTTGCACGAGCGAGCGCTGGCGCATCGTCTCTGGCAGGGTGTCCTCCAAACGCCCCGTAACCTCCCTGGGTCCCTCCTAGGAGGTTCCCTTCAGGGCTCCTTGACGGGTTTAGGGTTTAGGGTTTACGGGTTCCCTCTTCGGGTTCCGTTTAGGATTTCTTTGAGTTTAGGGTTTAGGGTTGAGGGTTTAGGGTTTAGGGTTCAGGGTTTAGGGTTTAGGGTTTAGGGTTCCCTTTAGGACTTTTGTTAAGGCTTCGTCAGTGGGTCCTTTAGAGGACCGAGACTTGGGCTCCTCTGAGGGTTCTTTCAAGGGCTCTTTGTAGGGCTTATATGAGGGTTTAGGGTTTAGGGTTTAGGCTTTAGGGTTTAGGGTTTAGGGTTTAGGGTTTAAAGTTTAGGGCAGGCTAAAGTTTCGCCACAGCTGTTTGAGGCGTGCCGTCGTGACATACGACCGCAGGACCCAAAAACGTCCCCAAAGACCTGGTGGCTGAGCAAGGACAGTTGAGGGTTTGGGGTTTAGGGTTTAGCAGGGTTTAGGGTTTGGGGTTAAAGGCCACCATTGAGCTCCCCAGTTCCTTAATCAACATGGAGGATCAACCTCGCGCCGTGGAGTAAAAACACAATTGAGACCCCTCAAAGCCCACAGGAGTTACGATTGTCATATTTCGATTTACACAGCCAGTGCTACTTTCAGATGTAAACTTAATACCACTACTCCAAACAATCGCATTCTGTGACGATCTCTTATTCAGGGGTTTCTGGAAGTCGAGATGGACTCATCGAGGGGGGGTTCTCTTAATGCGAGGTCGACATTTAGGTATCGTGTTACCTGCATGAATATTGACAAGGAACATCGTACAGGTTGCGCTGCCACATTTCCGGAAGGTCAGGGAACTGTGTCGCCTGCGCTGCCCTCGTCTCCACAAACTCCGTCAAGTTCTCCATGAATTAGTCCATGCTCTGACAGGTTGTCAAGGTTACCCGTTCTTTTTCTGTGATGCAGGCAGACTGAGGCTTCAACAAACATGGAGATCTAGAAGTCTCCATAGTCATCACTGTAGTCTTCACACCTCCTTGGTGGGACCTGAAGCAGAGCTGACGTCCAATGCCTCAATGCCTCAGGTGAGCAAGGAGCTTTCTGCACGATACACTGAGTCTTCTTTGGCGACGAGCGTATAGAAAAGCTTGTGTCGCTTGCCACACTCCTGGTAATCTGAAGACCTCTTGTAGTCCGTAAATCATTTGTCCTGGCGTGGGCGGGCGGGCTTTCGAAATTTTCTGCCACTCCCGACTTGAGCAGAGGTCACATGCGTAACTCATCTCTCTTGCACATGCTGGAAGTTTCTGACTAAACAAACTTGT